ACCCAACGTTCCGCGACTCGGCCGCCAACGACAAACGCCGCCCACAACCACCAGCAATCGTGGTTGACAGGCACTGCATTAGCAACAGGAACCCCAAGCATGTTGTATGCATCCCATCGAGGGCTGCCAGAAGTATAGCAGCATCTACCAGCTGCACTCGCCTTGCCGACTTTCACGTCTCCTCATTGCGCCAAGCTTGTGACGTGCTCTCTTACCCAGACGCGGGGCTCTTGCCCGATTGCCAACATGGACGCCCAGATCCAAAAGGCCGTCGAGATCGTGTGGGATCCAACGGGCGATCAATCTATCAAAGCTCAGGCCTATGATTTCCTTCAACAGCTGAGATCTGACCCCCAGGCATGGCAAGCCTGTGTCAGCCTCTTCACCAGAACCCCGCGGGTCTCTGAGATCGTCCGCCACGTCTGCCTCGAGCTGATCAGCAACACTGTCCACACACACACTCTCGATCTCCAGAGCTTGCTCTTCCTGAGGGATGCCCTATTGTCCTACGTGCGTGAGACGTACGGCACAAATCACCCCGACTCGGTCGACTCGGCCAATCTACAGAATAAAATTACCCAGACACTGACCTACTTGTTCGTGGCCTTGTACCAGCAAGGATGGGAGTCCTTTTTTGAGGACTTTCTGGCGCTCACCGCTTTCCCTGGCAGTTCGACCCACGATAACATCATGGGCACCATACTGTATCTTCGTATACTGAACAATGTTCACGACGAGATTGCCGACCAGGTGGTCATGCGCCAAGGTAACGAGGTCAAGATCCATACCGAACTGAAAGATCTGGTGAGAGCCCGGGATGTTGCCAGGATAGCTCAGTCCTGGCAGGATCTCCTCGCGGAACACGCCAGCCAGAATGAGCTCATCGTCGAGTCGACTCTCAAGGTCATCGGAAAGTGGGTAAGCTGGATCGATATTTCTCTCATCATTAACGATTCCATGATGAGCCGCATTTTTCCATTGATCGGTCGTGCCAACCCCAACGGCGGTGAGGACAAGGTCCGAGATGCAGCTGTCGACGCCTTCACCGAGATAGTGGGCAAGAAGATGCGCCCTGCCGACAAAGCCAACATGATATCGTTCCTCAACCTTCGGGATATTATTGCCCAGCTCATCGCCAGCCCTCCTCTGAACGAATTTAAGGGCACTCCTCGCTACGATACAGATCTTGGCGAGGCTGTCGCCAAGCTAGTAAATACTGTGCTGGCAGATCTTGTCCGCGTGCTTGAAGATCGGGCTACGGACGAAGACACACGCGCAAAAGCTAATCAGCAATTGCAAGAGTTTTTGCCTCTGCTTCTCCGCTTCTTTAGTGATGAGTACGACGAAATATGCTCTACAGTTATCCCGTCGCTTACAGATATCCTGACGTATTTGCGAAAGCTGTCCGAGTTGCCTGGGTCATTTCGCGATATGCTGCCGCCTATTCTGAATGCCATTATTATGAAGATGAGATATGATGAGACGTCGACCTGGGGCCACGAGGATGAGCAGACTGACGAGGCTGAATTCCAAGAATTACGTAAACGATTGCAGCTTCTACAGAAGAGCGTAGCTGCGGCAGATCATAATCTCTACGTCGAGGTTTTGAGTAATCTGGTGGCCAACACATTTCAGCGCTTAGATGAGCAAGGCTCGCACTTGGACTGGAGGGACCTGGACCTGGCCCTCCATGAGATGTATCTGTTTGGAGAATCTGCGAAATCCTCCGTGCCTCTCCAGGGCTTGGCTTCCAACAAGAATCAGCCAGCAACGCCTGCCGCCGAGCGACTCATGGCTCTAATGACCAAGATGATACAGTCAGGTAAGAACCCAATCCAAAACTCCAACCCCCGCCCCCCAAAATCCTTGGGTCCTAGAAGTACGCAAATGCTCATGTTGACACAGGTGTCGCCGGCTTCCCTCACCCAGCGATTACTCTTCAGTACATGGAGATTATCGTCCGTTATTGGAATTTCTTCGAGATGGAAGGCAACTCGTCGCTAATAGCACAGGTGCTCGAGAACTTTGTCCAATTTGTGCATCACGATCATGTGAGAATTCGCAGTCGCTCATGGTATCTTTTCCATCGGTTTGTAAAGCACCTTCGTGCCTATGTTGGGAATGTTGCAGAGACTGTCATTCAGTCAATCGCGGATCTGCTACCCATCAAGGCCGAGGTCCCAGGCGAAGATGCTGATGACGACATGTCATCTGATGAAATTGACAACTCTGCCGATGCTGTTTTCACCAGTCAGTTGTATCTTTTTGAGGCCATTGGCTGCATTTCATCCACTTCTAGTACCCCAGCCGAAAAGCAAGCCTTGTACGCTCGATCCATAATCGACCCTCTATTTCGGGATATGGAAGAGCATCTGCCTCGAGCCAAATCGGGGGATGCACAAGCCATCCTCCAGGTCCACCACATCATCATGGCACTGGGTACCCTGGCCCACGGCTTCTCGGACTGGACTCCAGGTTCGACTTCTTCTAACCAGCGGCCGCCACCGGACAAGGTCTTGTCGAGCGAATTTTCAAGGGCTGCCGAAGCTATCCTGATCGCGCTCAGTCAGCTCAACGGATCTGCCGAGATCCGTGCTGCGTGTCGATCAGCCTTTTCCCGTCTTCTGGGTGTTCTAGGGGCGGCTGTCTTACCTCAGCTGCCTCAGTGGATCGAGGGGCTCTTGTCACAGAGCTCGTCAAAGGACGAGATGGCCATGTTCCTCCGTCTCCTGGACCAGGTGGTTTATGGCTTCAAGACTGAGATCTACGATGTACTCAACATGCTCCTGACACCCCTCTTGCAGCGGGTCTTTGGTGGTCTGTCTGAGCCCATGGATGGCACCGATGATGAGATCCAGCTTGCCGAGCTGCGTCGCGAGTACCTCAGCTTTATTGGCGTGATTCTAAACAATGACCTTGGTGGTGTGCTCGTGTCAGAGGCAAACCAAGGCTTTTTCGATTCGCTGATCAGCTCCATTTTGACGCTGGCCGGAGACATCAGCTCCGGTAACCTACCAGCTAGTCGCCTCGCATTCGGCATCCTTTCGCGCATGGCGGGCGTCTGGGGCGGGCCAGACGTGGCAAATATCGCGGCCAACCCTTCCGCACCAAGCGGCTCGCCTTCCCCAGCCATTCCCGGATTCGACCAATTCCTCCTTGACCGCTTCCACGCAGTCTGCTGGGACGTCATGAGAAACCCGCAATTCAGACCTTCGCAGGATGCCCAGACCAAGCAAGTTCTTACCGAGATTGCGGGTCTGGAACAAGCCATCTATCTCAAGACGGGTGAAGTCTTTATCCAGCACCTGCAGGTTTCTCTCTTCCCAAGCCTTGGCATCGATGGCAACGACTTTCTTCGGCCGATGACGACATCCACGGACCGAAAGACATTTTCTAGATATTTACAAGAGCTTCAGAAATCGTTCAGATCGTAGGTATGAAAGCAATAGACAGACATTGGACTTTGTTCGTCCGGTTGGTGGGGGGACCATTGAGGCTTGGCTTGCCTTTCGGGGAACAAGAGCTAGGGTGTCGCCGAGATGGTCGTTCCAGCATTTGCATATAAGGAGTTTGGGCAGATATCCAGTTCCACTTGTGGCAATCTAGAAAACTCATCCTTAGGGGAGGAAGGGAAAAATAAACAAACAAGAATTATTAGACAAAGCTAGTTGTGACTAAACGCCCCTTCCTTCTCTTGTGTCCTGACGCCCGCTATGGGATATACAGACATGTTCAGATTGCACAGGTTTCCATCCATGCGGAGAGGGGTGAGCGAACCTCTTTTATACGGACCAGTCAGTCATTGAGGATCCTGCCGACCCGGCCAAACGAGCAAATATTTCGCAAGTAAGAACCGATACGACACGTTAGCATCTGCCGTGGATACGATGGCAAGCAGAACGACCCCAGCGGGAAAAAGGCATCATAAACGCCGTCTCCAATGATAGATACCTGGATGGGGTGTCCACCACAACTTGGCGGTGGTGGTGATGCTGGTGGTGGTTGTGGTAGCGGCGGCGGCATTGATTTGTTTCATCAATCCCTGTACATATTCCATGCGCTAAGATTCACTTTCCCCCCCCCC